ATCGAAAAAAGAGATTAATGTGAGTTTGAAGCAAAATATAGAATATAAAAGACACAAACATGAGCTGTGTCAGCGACAGGTGACACAGCCATATGTGTTTATCTAGCTGGTCTTTTATTGTGGTTTTGTTTTCACTGTGTCAGATTGACGTATACTGCATGCTTTATATGTCTGTGCTTCTTTCAGTTAGTGTCAAACAATGCAGCAATGATGTCTTATTTAGGGCAGATTACTACTACCATTAATACTAACATGTTTTAAATAGTACCAGACAATGTAGTATAAGGGGGTCCAGAATTCTTATCATATTTTCATAATTGTGGTTATTGTTATGGATTTTTAGAAATGATCTTAGTTTATTTAGCAGAGACAATGCACATTTATTGCAAAAGAAATTGCTGTAAATGCACCAAATACATCAGTTAAAAATAAATGTATCTCCAAAATGTCTGCCATCAATAAGCAAAGAAATACAGCCCTCGTGATGCATTTCTCATTTAAGCTACTGGATTTATTTTTCTTAAGAATAAAGAAAATTCTCTTAACCCATAAATGAACATGTAATCCTTCACTGTATTAAAAAAAGAAAAAAAAGAAAACTGGCTCTGGATAGGGCTGTTTTTCATGCATTTCGCAGCCACCTTTGTTTCTCCTTCAAGCATTCAAAGGGGAGGGTGAAGCGAGTGAGATGCAATCTGCATCTACACAGCTAGACGCCACTACATCCTCCACACTGGACCTTTAAGTGAGGCTTGCACACAGACTGACTGGTCAATCAACAGGTGAATAATCCTGGTATTTATGGACAAAATGAACCACCTCCCTTCCTTCTAACCCCTCTTCGTCTGTTGTCATAGCGACTTTTGGTCCTGTCCCGTTCTCCCTAAGAGGAAATGAACTGCCTGTGTTATTTATTAGCTATGAGGCAACACATTACTCCTAACACTGTGTCGGTTCGTGCTAGAGCTGCAACAATTAGTCAGCGAGTTGTGTAATTACATTATCTGAAATGTTTCCAACAGTGTTCAAGTGGTAACGGTGCGTTTCACCGGTCGCCTTTGTACGTGTGTTGTGGTTTTCTGCCAGATGCTATCATACGTTGACTTTTTATCCAGTTTAAGCCACATTTTTACAATAAACTTTATAGATCTTGGTTATTTTTAACCAGATATCCTAACTGGGTGAAGGATTTTAGCCAGTGGATGTCTGGATCTTAAGTTATCTGAGCTGAGCTAACGTTAGCAGCAGCTCTGCCGCCAAAAACCTACAGTCAGTTCAAAAAGTCTTCTGCAAAATGTCTCACAAAACCTCCACAGCGTTCCCGTATTACCTCAGCGTTACACGGGCTTCCAGTTGAACTTTGGATTGCATTTAAAACCTTTCTAATTACTTTTTAAGGCCCTACGCAGTTTGGCTCCGCCACGAGTCGCTGATCCCTTACAGGCCCACTAGTCCTCTCATAGTCAGCAGGACAAAGGGCCCCTGGGTGCGCCCCGCTCTAAGTTCAAGACTCGCGGTGACCTTTTTTTTTCTGTCTTGGCTCCTGGACGATGGAACAGCCTCTCTCTCTCTGGGGGTCAGCAAACTCAATCAGCAAAACCTATTTATCCTCGAAGGAAGTTTATTGATGCGTCTTGGCCCTGATTGTTCTTATTCATACACCAGTTTTTCTTGTGTTTGCTGTATTTATACACCCAAATGCTTTTATGTTTTTTTATAACCGTAAATAATTTTGTAACCTTGGTTCTGAGTGCTATGTAAATCAAGTTTTACTTAAAAAAACAAGCCAAAGACTCTGGTGTCATTAAGGATTTGCAGCTTTTGTTTGTCATGTATGATATAAAGCGAATATCTTCGGGTTTTGGATCGTTAACAATAAGGTATCCGAAGACGGCGCCTTGGACTGTTTTTAAAATACTTCCTTTAAAAGCGAAACATATCAGTCAAGAAAATAATCAGCAGGTGAATCGATAATGAAAACAGCCGCAGTTTAAAGCCTCATCACGCTCTGAAACCACATTCAAACACTTTGTATTTTTCCATTAAGCAGACAATGGTCATCTCAGCCAAAGATTGTTCAAACATACACAACTTTACTCATCCCAAAGTGTCCAAAGATGCCTGTATTTTAAGTAAATGTGTATCGGATGCTGGACAATGCATGCAGAATATATTATGGATGCAGCCATTAAAACAAAAACACGGAGTGCTGGGTGTGTTTCACTCAGTGTCAACATCATGAAGCCTCAATGGAGATCAGGGGAACAAGCTGCTACAAGACAGGTCAACAGCCTTAAAGCTACATAAAGGGGGGGGGGGGGGGGCAGCAACCCCCAATCACATTGTGCCAGCCGTCCACCACTGTTCAGCACCACGGACAGCTCCACTCCAACCCAAGTACATGAGCACCCTGGGACAGGCGGCCCAGCGGTCCCTGACCAAACAACCTCCGCAAGTTCCTCAGCCAAATTTGGAGGGAAATGAGACAACGGCGGCCCTTACCTCGATGTCCGGCCGCAGCGTCTTTGTCAATTCCTTGAGGCCAGAATTGGTTTTGTGAGTATAGCCGTGGCATCCTCCTGGTGCCGACCTGGGGACCCAGCATTTTGAATTTGACAAGTGCTGTTGTGTGGTGATTTCATGTCGGTGCCATAAATCCGTAGATTCAGAACTGGAGAGAGGGGGGGAAAGGGAGGGGGGTAAGGTAAGGTAGGTGGTGGAAGAAAAACACAACGCACAAGGAGGAGGTGATGGTTGGTGAATGGGCTCCCCTGTTAATAAAACCCATCAGGGAAAAGAGATTTGTCGCAGCAAGCGTGTGTGTTTCAGTTCGGAAAAATGCATTTTAGGAATGTGTAGGGTCCTAATTTGTTTTTTTTTGAGGGGGGGGGCACAGTAGTAAGCTGTTGTCTGTGTGTGAGTGTGTGTTTTGTGTGTGTGTGGTGTGTGGGTGGGTGTGTGTGGGGGGAAAGGCCTTTAGAAAAAAAATAACAATAAATAACACACAGTGCATTATCAGCAGTCTTCATTCAACAAAATGCGCAGTTTTCCATCAC